TTTACACTTTCATGAAAATAGAGTGGAGCGTTGTATATGTTGCTTCTTTGTGATTTACTTAAGTTAATTATAGTTCATGCACTAGTTCCTTGTTTATGTTTTCATGCAATTATCAGCGTTATTTGTTTTCTTGGTAGACGTGTTCAAATGGACATAGAATTCATTCCTGGATGTCACAGCCTTGTGAAAGGAAAGTGTTCTTGGGGAATTTTCTGCTTTCGTTTGCTGTCCTAACTAGTGGAAACAATTTCACAAAAACTGTTATGATGGCAAATTTCCTGAATTTAGGGATGATAAGTTATTCAACCCACATGAAATTCAGAGACTGTTTGTAGCCCCTGTAATAGAAGAATACTATGAAGACATGATGGCTGAAATCCTTGAAAAATTCAAAGACAAAGAAATTGTGATTGCTGGTAAGCAGATGTGTAAGTTGATTTTAAGCTGTCAAAATCTATTCGGTGTTGTGAAATGGGAACTAGTGGTGGAGCCAATGGTATTTTAAAAAGTGTTTTTCTTACAACAGTTCTGTCTGATAGTTAGCAGTGTCAGATAACAATAGCCAGTTTACACAATGTCACCTTCCACTGCTGAATGCGAGATAAGTTTCTCGGCCATGAATAGAATTAAATCTTGCTACAGAACATCTCTTAGTCCAAAGTATGCTAGGTTGCTTGATGAGAATCCATGCTGCGGGTATTTCTCTACAGGATTTCAGTCCTAAATCTTCCATTATACGTTGGATGTCAACCACCAAAAAAAGGGACAGACTGATTGTTTCAGGTAGTGAAAGTAAGAGGGTAGTAGATGCAGTGGCCAGTTCATCAAGTGCTAGTGTTGGTTCAGCTCCTGTATCAGAATGTTCTGTCGACCTCACACAATCTTCATCTGATCACAATTAATGTTACTAAATAAATCTTGATCTGTGCAGTATTAGTTACTATCTATCTGATCTAGTATTGTGGACATATTATTATTTACCCCATTATTAACATCAAAGTAAGGAGTGTTGCAAAAAATGATTATGTGAATATCATGTTTAATTAGAAGTTCTTGAATCTTCAGGAAGATATATATCTGAACTTTGTAATCCTCCTAGACCAGCCTGCATGCATATAATTTCCTTGATACAAGTGGTAAATAAATGCATGATTTTGAAAATACTCTTGTTTTCTTGTAATTATTTCAAAGATGACTGGCAACTGTAATTCAAAATATTTGGAATATATAGTTTATTTATCTGTGGGTCTGGTGCTTTTAAAAATACTTTGTGTCTTAAGATGCTAAAAAGCTCTTGTAAACACCAATCAGTAGGCACATTATTTACTAGTAACTAATCACTTTTAATGGACGAGCACTTTTTTCATTTTGGACGAGTAAAGTTTGCTGTGTACTCGTAATGGACGAATGCTTCAGAAACTTTCGATCTGACGCCTGCAGTTTGCCACAAAACATCGGTAAATATTTGTATCAGATTGTATCATTGGAATGTAATGTTTTAGAGTCAGGTGTTAGTAAGGTAGTACATATATTATTTCTATTTTGCAGTCCAGATGGCGTGGGATTCTCCATCATGTAACAAATAATCATGAATGGGTGTTTGGAGATGGTAGTGGTCCTGCTGAGTGTGAGCATGCTGCCCTGGAACATGGCAATGAAGACAAATGGATAGAGCCTGGAACACATGCCCATGAACTTTTGGCTAAAGTAGTGCTTGACACCAGATTCCTGCATACTCTTCAATATTTTGTTAACTTTAGGTATGTGTTTTGGTACTATAGTTTTGTTTTATCTCCTACATTACAGGTTACTGGAACTTCATACTTGGGTTCTGGGTTCAACTTGACAATGTGGTGTATCACATACTAAGAGTGGATCACTGTGACCTACATTTTATCTTTGACCTACCAAACTACTTTGCCTTCTTCATGTCCAGTGGGATACTATGATTTGCTGAATTTCTTTGTTTCCAGGTCAGTTTGATCACAAACATAACTTTCCAATTTGATATCTAAATGATACAGGGCCTTTTTATGTTTGGTTCATCACTCAACAATGCCTCACAGATGTATGATACTACAGGTAAAATGATGAGATATGTACAAACGTTGTTTGCCCATTGGCATAATTGCATATGTATTTGTTACAGACACACAGACGATAGCTAAAACAACTACAAAATTAAATGAATCAGTGGTAAAACATCATTCAAAACAATGGGACATCTGAAATCTAATGGAAAATTAGCCACATCAAAATTTGATATTTCAAATGCTTTTTCCAAAAATTTGTCTGCAAATAATCATTCCAAAAAATTTCAAAAATTTAAGACCACGCGTGAAAAAAACTGAATTGAAATTCCGAAAACAATGAAACTTACAATCAGCCTTTCTCAATGTTAGAACTTCGCGAATCGTTGCAAAAAATCGCATGACTCTGCAACAGGACCTGATGATATTCAATATCAGTTCCTAAAACATCTACCATAGTCATCATTAGAAAAACTTCTCAATATTTTTAATTATATTTTTAGATCGGGAAATGTCCAAAGTCATGGAAAATGGCAACTGTGATTCCTATCCCCAAACAAGGTAAAGATACAACAGATCCCTCCAGTTACCGCCCAATATCACTCACAAGTTGCGTTTGTAGAGCGGATGATAAATTCAATATTAAATTGGTATATGCAACCAAATCGCATAATATCACCCCTACAAAGCGGTTTTAGATCTAAGCGAGGTACCAACGATCATTTGGTTAGACTTGAAACCTTTGTGCGTGAGGCTTTTCTAAAGAAGGAGCACTTGGTTGCTGTTTTCCTCGATTTGGAAAAGGCTTATGACAACATCGAAATACGGCATAATTAAAGATCTGCACGATATAGGTATTAGAGGTAATCTACCAATTATTATTATTTAAAATTTTCTATCAAATAGAGTATTTTATGTCCGAAATGGAACGACCCTTTCCGATGTTCATCAGCAGGAAATGGGTGTACCACAAGGCAGCATTCTTTCGGTTACACTTTTTGGGCTTAAAATTAACAGTATTGTCAAAACAATTGTTTTGGCAAGATCTAACGCAGAAAAATCACATGGCTCAATGGCACCTACGATGTCATATCGTGTTAATCAACAGATTCATCCAGTTCAGCGGGTAATGACTCCTTGATAAGGTCTGTTATAAAGATATATTCATATAATAACAGCCTAAAATGGGCTATGACGTACCATTTTAATCTTTTGTGTTAATATACCCATTTGTTGAAACATATATAGGATATTCTGTTTATTACATTTTCACCGCAAAAATAAACAAAAACAATGGCTCACTTACGATACCTATAAAATGGGTAAGTTGACCATGCTTTTTCCAGACACTACTTACTCATTATACAACGATGTTGTGTGCGGCAAAAAATAGTCCATTTTATGAAAAATCAGTAAAAATATACAGACTCTTAAATAAATCATAATGAATGTTTATTTGTGTTTGGACATGGATTTTGTAATTTATTGATGTCATTTATACACAATAAAATGGTTTAAATGTTAACTGATAAAATGAAAACAATGTTTGATAAATTCTTCCACGCATGAAAAAGTATGGCGCCATCCTAGTCGCTGTCACTATCAATGACATGGATTCTTTTGAAATGCCTTGGTCCACTCAAGACTCTCAGAACGGGGATGGGTTTGACCACTGATAACATAGTTAGAGTTACTGGACTGCATCGTCTGCTGACTGCCATGAAAATGGAAATTTACGGTGAAGTGGAAGTTTGTGTTCCCAGTGAACAAACCCCGACAGATGGGAATGGCTGTTGATTTGGCCCCGATGTAGCAGCACTCTCCCGACAGATTGTAGTACTAGCAGGTACTCCTCTGTTCCCTTCTCCTGTTGATAATATATTTGAAATCCCCTTGCACTGGTCAGAATTTAATCGGCTGTAATTATCCAGACTATTAACATTTTTGTGACCAGTTATCTCATCAATCTGAATAGGAGGCACTCCACTGTCATTCAATTTCTGTACCAGTCGTTGTCTCACACTGAAATAGTAAAACATTATTTGCCTACATTTACGCCAAATCATCAATGAGGTTATAATTTAAACATTCATGTCAACTATATGGTATCTCACTATATTGGTTATGTAACTGTTACGACAAAACTGTGTAGTGATTAAATTCTTTTTCTTTTACATTATCATTTTTTTTTGAGCTGTTTAGCGCATGTTTAGGCAAAACTAGGAAAAATGTGCCTGTAGTTGGTCAAACGCCGATCAGTCTCAAGTCCTGAAGCCTCTTTCATTTCTGTTATATTTTGGCACATCTTGTTGATTCCCATCGGACAGTTTTTGTACCATTGGGAGTTGGATGATTCTGGATTACAATATTCAAGACTTTTAATAAACATATTTCAAATGATTTTTTTTATTTTATTTGTAATTTTATACCTTTTGTTTTCATGCTTTTGTTTTATATTTTAAAGACATCGTCTGTTGTGAAGTTGTAGTAATAATCTAATAAAGTCTTCCTTTTCTTCCTATTTAATCTTTAATTCGTTTTTATTCATTTTATTAGATTGACTTCTTTTTATGCCCCCGCCATTTATGTCCGTCGCGTCACGTCGCGTCCCGTCCCGTCCCGTCACGTCGCGTCCCGTCCCGTCCCGTCGCGTCGCGTCGCGTCCCAAATCAGTATATACCACCTAACATCCTCATTCGGACCTTTCACTATTATTTCACATGGGGGGGTTGGGGGGGCGGGCATTCATGTCTTACAGACATTTTCTAGTTTTCAGTTATTTGTCATCGGAATTTGTTATTGTGTGATATTTTTATTTTATAGTACTAATTATATTATACAACATGTAATTTACTGTAATTACCTATGTTTGCATTTCTGTTGATGGTCAGAAAAAAGGGTTTGTCTGGATCATTCATTGCTGTAGGCGGCTTGGAAGCATACATTTTGTACAAAGCTACTGGATCTTTGTTAACAATAACAAGAACCTGTTCTGGTTTTGGTTTGACGTTTCTGGATGTTAACAATGTACTCTTCACCATTTTCTACATCAGTTTTCTGTTCAACATCTCCCCATTTCAAATCATGGGTTTCTTTTCCAGGGCGCATTCCGAAATGCATTGTACAAATCATCCACACAGAGTAGAGAAGTGCAGCAGGTGATTGCATTCCTAATGTATTTGTTTCACATAATTGTTCCAGTTCCATATCTGTTAGCTCATCTGCTGCCCTGGGCATATTTCCTTTCCCCGTTCCCTTCAGTTGCTTTTGTTTTGTTTTAAGAACAGCCCTGCATTTTTTAAATTGTAAATCACACATTAGGCCAACAGGATAATTATTTTCCTTCAAATATCTGTCTAAACTGCCCACATAGCTTCTAAGTGTTGTTGGCTCATAATCAGAACCACCCTTGCGTTTAACAAAGAGAAGAAACATTGAAATGTTTGTGTCAAGTTCACTCGGTGGGATTACTTCCGGTTGTCGCCCCTCCCCACACTGTATCAGATAAGCCTTGAAAACACTCATATCTTGCTCAGTTTTCCTTTTAGTGTCACGATTTTGTTGATTTTTAAGAAAGTTGTCAATGTCATCTGCATTAACTTTCCTAAATTGCTTACCGTTTGTTGCTGCTGCTGTGGTTGGTTCTGATTCTACATCAAGTGCAATCTTATCAGCTGCTGGCTCATTCACTTGGATCAATTATTTGGAACTTCATAAAATCAACCTCCCCTTGCGACAAACCTTCTAATATTTCATCTAAAGTCTTTGGTTCTCTCTCCATTTCCTTCAGATAAGTTTTTTTCTTTGGTATATGTTATGCAGATCTATAGCAGACTATTCCGTAGAAGATAAACACAGTCTCTTGTGAATTCTTTAGCCACGATAATTCCCTCGAATTCGTAACCTTGGATCTGCCCTGTAAATAATGTCAGAAGTAGGCACTCTTCAGTTAAATTTGAGAGAGCTATATCAGGCTGGACACCATAATAATCAATAGATAAATAAGTACGTCAATTTTAGTTAATTTAGTGTGTTTTGGTTAGATTGTATAGCTAACTATGTAGTTTGGTGAGATTGTATAGCTAACTATATAGTTTGGTGAGATTGTATAGCTAACTATGTAATTTGGTGAGATTGTATAGCTAACTATGTAGTTTGGTGAGATTGTATAGCTAACTATGTAGTTTGGTGAGATTGTATAGCTAACTATGTAGTTTGGTGAGATTGTATAGCTAACTATGTAGTTTGGTGTGAATGTGTATATAAATATGTAGGTAAGTGCGATTGTACAGATAAATATGAAGATTAGTGAGATTTTGTAGATAAATATTTAGTTTGGTGAGATTTTCTAGATAAATATGTAGTTTGGTGTGATTGTGTATATAAATGTGTAGGTAAGTGCGATTGTACAGATAAATATGAAGATCAGTGAGATTTTGTAGATAAATATTTAGTTTGGTGAGGTTTTCTAGATAAATATGTAGTTTGGTGTGATTGTGTATATAAATATGTAGGTAAGTGCGATTGTACAGATAAATATGAAGATTAGTGAGATTTTGTAGATAAATATTTAGTTTGGTGAGATTTTCTAGATAAATATGTAGTTTGGTGTGATTGTGTATATAAATATGTAGGTAAGTGCGATTGTACAGATAAATATGAAGATTAGTGAGATTTTGTAGATAAATATTTAGTTTGGTGAGGTTTTCTAGATAAATATGTAGTTTGGTGTGATTGTGTATATAAATATGTAGGTAAGTGCGATTGTACAGATAAATATGAAGATTAGTGAGATTTTGTAGATAAATATTTAGTTTGGTGAGATTTTCTAGATAAATATGTAGTTTGGTGTGATTGTGTATATAAATGTGTAGGTAAGTGCGATTGTACAGATAAATATGAAGATTAGTGAGATTTTGTAGATAAATATTTAGTTTGGTGAGATTTTCTAGATAAATATGTAGTTTGGTGTGATTGTGTATATAATGTGTAGGTAAGTGCGATTGTACAGATAAATATGAAGATCAGTGAGATTTTGTAGATAAATATTTAGTTTGGTGAGGTTTTCTAGATAAATATGTAGTTTGGTGTGATTGTGTATATAAATATGTAGGTAAGTGCGATTGTACAGATAAATATGAAGATTAGTGAGATTTTGTAGATAAATATTTAGTTTGGTGAGATTTTCTAGATAAATATGTAGTTTGGTGTGATTGTGTATATAAATATGTAGGTAAGTGCGATTGTACAGATAAATATGAAGATTAGTGAGATTTTGTAGATAAATATTTAGTTTGGTGAGATTTTCTAGATAAATATGTAGTTTGGTGTGATTGTGTATATAAATATGTAGTTTGGTGTGATTGTGAAGATAAATATGTAGTTTGGTGTGATTGTGTTAATAAATATGTAGTGAAGTGAGATTTTGTACAGACAAATATGTAGTTTGGTGTGATTGTTTAGATAAATATGAAGTTTAGTGAGATTGTACAGATAAATATGTAGCTTGGTGAGATCGTGTAGATAAATATGTAGATTAGTGAGATTGTGTAGATAAATTTGTAATTTGGTGAGATTGTGTCGATAAATATCAAGTTTAGTGAGATTGTGTAGATAAATGTGTAGTTTGGTGAGATTTGTAAATAAATATGTAGTTTGGTGAGATTGTGTATATAAATATGTAGTATGGTGAGATTTTGTAGATAAATATGTAGTTTGGTGAGATTGTGTATATAAATATGTAGTTTGGTGAGATTTTGTAGATAAATATGTAATTTAGTGAGACTTTAGATATGTGGGTTTTTACGATTGTATGTAAATATATGTTACATTCCTCATTATGTATTGATTTCTACAGAAAACACATCTCCATTCTTAAACGTACCGAACGTTATGAATCATACATAATAAGTGTCCCTATTACTTCAATTTGATAAATTTTATGATATTTATTTGATATCGTTTCGTTTTTTCAAGCAGAATAAAGTACTCATCCTCCACGAAACGAAATTTGAACCAGCGTAAAAATTCTTTTTAATTTTGAAATTAAGCACATTGAATGTTTTCACATAGCACGCACATTCAGTAAATGACATACTCTTCAGATACACATTTATACGTTAGATATGCCTCGCACCTACTACTTGTGGAAATTATATAATGTCTAACATACTTAATGAAAACATTTGTTGCATTTATTGCCTCGTGAACAGCCAGGATCATTCTAAGTGCGGTTTCTCCTTGTAAAAGCTGGTGACTACTACCTCACAGAACAGCAAACGGGAGGCCCGTCACGCGTCATCTAGAGCAAAATGGGGTAACGTCTATCGATTAAAGACACCCACAATACGATAGTCCAGTCCGTTTCTCAGCTTCATGTGAAACGCAAACATCCGCGGGTAGGTAGAACATGTGTAGGCCAAAGCAAAACACCGACTGAGTGATAGGGGGTTTCAGCAGGGCAAAGGGTACCAATCACATTACTCTAATACTGTTACAATGGTTGACGTCTGTTCTTATTTCGCTAATGTTGGAAGGATTTCAATTTATCAAAATTTAAAAATCAAAATCAATAATATAAACTCTCCAATAAGTAAGGTTTGACAGTATGTTCAGATCGTGAGCCAGTTCTTAACATTTTTTGAGAAAAAGTACTGATCAAACCCTATTTTATTTGATCTTTTCGGATGACCCCGAGGCAAATATGACATTATTTCTATATTTGAGGACTGTTAACAACTTGATTCCACAGCCAGGAGATTTGATAGAGCTAAATAATGTAACGTTTCAGATTTGAATATAGAATAATAAGTATTACCTATAGTACAAACAAATCAACAATACTCGTGACAATTACATTACGGCTATGGTAAAACAAAAACATAAGCTGTTACGTTACGTAACTGGGAATGACGTCACGCTCTATTTATAGAGGGTATACTATGATGTTGTAGATGTTCACGGGGATTCCCAAATAACGTATATGTCCATCACATGTTATATACTGCATAAGGCATTCCCGACCGGGATAACCGCGGAACATTAGACTTGCGAAATTAAAGAAATAAATAAAGTACCAGTCAAGCGTCTCGTCAGCGTCAATATAACTCTTGCTTTTTAGTTGACACCGAAAGGTTTCTGGGTGACGATTGTCAAGATGGAGGCCAGAGTATTGTTATGAAAGCGAGGTTCTTATCTTATCATCATTTAACCCTCTACGAGCTTTTTCATTTGTCAATTTTTATGTAATCACTCAGAACATGAAATTTAATCAAGTAACGTCAGGTTGAATTTAAACATATGTTATTGCATGTAAGTAGTAATGGGATTGGGCACTAGTTTAACAACTTATATAAAACCATTTCCAAACATATAAATATACACGCATTAAATTTACAAGGTGGCAGCAGGATATAATAACAAGTTGAGTGAGATCGAGAGATAAGGGAAAGAAAGAGAGAGGGGGTGGAGAGAGAATGGGGGGGGAGAGAGGGGGTGGAGAGAGAATGGGGGGAGAGAGAAGGGGGTGGAGAGAGAATGGGGGAGAGAGAGAATGGGGGAGAGAGAGAATGGGGGGAGAGAGGGGGTGGAGAGAGAATGGGGGGAGAGAGGGGGTGGAGAGAGAATGGGGGAGAGAGGGGGAGAGAGAGAGGAGGGAGGGAGAGGGGGGTGGGAGAGAGGGAGAGAGAGAGAGAGAGAGAGAGAGAGAGAGAGAGAGAGAGAGAGAGAGAGAGAGAGAGAGAGAGAGAGAGGGAGAGAGGAGAGAGAATGGGGAGAGAGAGGGGGTGGAGAGAGAATGGGGGGAGACAGAGAGGGGGAGGAGAGACAATGGAGAGAGAGAGAGGGGGGTGGAGAGAGAATGGGGGAGAGAGGGGGTGGAGAGAGAATGGGGGGAGAGAGGAGAGAGAGAGAATGGGGATGGAGAGAGAGAGAATGGGGGAGAGAGGAGGGTAGAGAGAGATGGGGGAGAGAAAGAGAGAGGGGGTGGAGAGAGAATGGGGGAGAGAGGTGGTGGAGAGAGAATGGGGGAGAGAGGGGTGGAGAGAGAGGGGGTGGAGAGAGAATGGGGGAGAGAGGGGGTGGAGAGAAAGAGAGACAGACAGACAGTCAGAGAGGGAGAGACAGACAGAGGGAGAGGGACTGACGGCGAGAGAGGGAGAGACAGAGAAAGAGGGAAAGAGATGGGGTGGGGAGTGGGGTGCTTTCTTTGTATATATGTACATCATGCATGTAGTGCATGTATAGTGAATCACTAGGAGTTACCTCCCTCCCTCCGTATCTATAACCCACTATAAGACCATTACTATTTAATAGACTACAAAGTCTACACATAATACCTTTCAAAAATTAGATAAAACTGTCCCGCTGATTAATAAGTGTTTTAATCTAGTTTAGATAACTCCATATTGGCCCTTCAGCTATTTTCATTATCAGAATATAAGGATTAGGTAAAATGTTTTGAATATAAAATAATGCTTTAACAGAAATACGCACGACATACTGGTCATTTGTTTAATGGGGTGACGCCCGCCATTTTGACGTCATATCTGACTTAATATTATTTTAACTATGTTGTATTTGTAATTGCTCGGTTACTTATCACAGATCATTGTAATAATGGTAGCAGAATTTTATGATTACGTGTACCTAACTATTTTATTTACCCGGTTAATTCAATATGATCTGTCTAGAATCTTGAAAACCGCCACCTTCTCGTGCGCTGCCGTCACCTGTGACGTCATTCCGGATAATTCACGTGACGTTGGATAGAAAACGGCCACTGTACTTCAAGACATGTGCAATATGTATTTGAAAATTTATTTTATTATATAATTATCGACAGAACTGATCAGTTATTTTTAAATACATAATGTCGGAGTTCTGACATCTGAACATTATCAGCTTGATCAGTGCTTCCTGTTGGTTATTTATTATCATTATGTGTTATTTATCTCAACAAGTCTTAATTGATGTATTAAAAATCAACATTAAAATCGATCTATTCAATAAATGAATTTATTTACAAAGAAATAAGTTCATAAGTCAGCTTTGATAGTAAACCATCCTGCAGTCTACCCGTCGGATAAATAAACAAACAAAAATAACTGTTAAAACGAGACAACAAAGTGCACTTAAAAATAACTTCGGCAAATCCATTGGACATATTTTACGGTTGCTAATGAATTCATTGTGAAATTATCTCCCTGGAGATCTGTGGTTATGATTATGCTTGTACATGCAAAACATGTTGATGATAGTACACCAAAATGTTTAAACTGAATACCACAGTGAAAATGAAATTTAACTGAAAATATCTCAATTGTAACATTGGCTATTTTAGGCAGATTTTGCATTCAGTAAGAAGTCGAGCAATGCACAATTAAGTTATATATATATATATATATATATATATATATATATATATATATAATTTCAGGTAAAAACCTCACTTCCTCGAACCCGAATTACTCGGATATAGTCACAAGGAATTCGACTTTGCGATGTTTTACTGTATTCCAGATCAACTCTCGTTCGTTTTGCCGATAGTGACGTCACTTCAACATTTTCAGCCGGGGTCACGTTGTATTAGTTGGTAAATCACTGAATAACATACGGGAGGCCCGATGAAAAACCTTCCAGAGAAATCAGTGTCTGGACTAATGACATCACCACGTCAGCACAGACAATTCCTTTTTCCAGCTACCCGAGAAACATAAATCGACAGTGAGCGTAAAACCACGTACCTCGGTTCTTAACGTAGGCAACGCTCTAACCGGCTGAGCCTATCACACTGTCGCGTTCAGTAGAGGACTCATTAAACAATAGAACGTCATCGAATGGACCGAGAACAGACAGTTCAGATAATAAGTCCATTTACGGTGATAATATCAAATTCAACAAACTTTTCTTGAAGTGATTATTTTGCTGAACGCAGAATTTCTTTGTATGTATCACAGTACTGGTTTTGATGTGTAAGGATGTTAACATCATTTCCGGAAAAATCTGTACCGGACCTGCCGCCATCTTCCCAGAAAGAGATTCCGACCATTACTAATTCCCTTGGATATTCATCCGCCATTTTGTTTCTTTGGTTTAGAATCCACCAATGAGATTCCATGAGGCCCGTAGGGTACAAAAACCGAACCCGGGTCCTTGTCAAGGCGGGAGACTTCTTCTTTAAAAAAGTCACTATCAATTGTGGCGAGTTGTCTCCCGTAGACCGCGGTCCGATAGAGGAAATATTCCGTTATATACATCATACGTGGTGATGTGTAGTGAAACGTGATCGGCAGTTGGCTGCAACAATTCTTTCCCTGATAACGAGATGAAATATGTAATTATATAACGAAATTTTGTAAGAGCATTTGTGATTACGTGCAGATATAACTATAGGTTCATTTGTATATATTGTTTTCATTCGTCATGATAAATGACTTGATCTTACCTAGGTAAATTCCACCTTTTTATCATTTTTTCTCTGATTAGAATTTTCCAAAGATTTTTTTAAGTGGAACGTGACTGTTTTTTAATTAACAGAAGCGGCAAATATATGTTAGATATTCCCAGACACACAGTTCACCATATTTAACGAAACAGACCGAGGGATTCCCACTACTATATGTCTTCCTCTTTTAAATGCACAAACTCATTCACCGACACGTATATTCGTTGAAACGAAACCATTTTATATCAACTACATTTTAAATTAATTTTTGATAACGGCATTGATCACTTCAAGGTCTCTGGAGACGTTTCTAGTTCTCGCGAGATCTTGTCTCGATACTGAATATCGATATCAGTATAGAAAATAAAAATCGAAACGTACTGTGACACGACTTTTCAGACCAAACTTAACTGTATCCGTTTTCAGAACCGTTAAAAAAATGAAAATAAGCTGTACCAATTTCATATTTCAACGTTTGATGAGAAAGTCAGACTTTATATATACTTGGTTTAAATTGAATGATATATTTTGTTTCGATAATTTTTGCTAAGATTTCGCCAATGTTTCAATCAGGAAAGAATTTCAAAAGATGAACTATTTGATTGTTATTTTCCATCTATAAAAATAAACATCTGTTAGTGATTCAAGTATACATTTCATGTGTAAACGAAATTAATTATTTTGAAAAATCACAGATAACATATCACAAGAAGCATTTTGTTGTGATGATAATTTTCAGCACTTTTTGTTTAGTTCTGATTTTGAAACGATGTTGTTATTGGAATCGTGAAAACTCTTTGTTTCCATTCTCCGACGGAAAGGAACGACAACTCTGCAGAGAAGGAAAACATTTGCCGATAAAAAACGTACAATTGTAGAATAGCCCTACATATTGCAGTATAGTTATCAAACAAGTGGAAAAAATGACATTCGAAAATTTTAATATGACTTTTTATAATCAAGACTTAAAAGATGATATTTTCGATAAAAACAAAAAACAAAACAAAAAAAACTTACCGCCCGTGCCGGCTTATGTGGATACTGCAACAGATACACAGGGACTGGTCCTATAATATAATTAAGTATACTAAAGGCATGAAATGTCTCCCGACCGAATTTATCCGTGGTTTTATATGGCTGAACGCCCACAGTTTCCAAACATCTCCCAACATCCACATCTTCATCATTACCATCACGGGGACAAAGATCTTTCTGTAGGCCGTCTTCCACGATCATGCGCAGTGCCGACTGGCTCATGACGTAACCAGCACCGCCACTCATATAACCCTGTTTTAAATGTACTTTAAAATGATGGCCAAGATAAATAGGTTTTTGGTGGTCGCATTTTGACAACAAAAGTTTGAGATTTTCCATCACAACAAACGTGTCATCATCAGCCTTCATAAACCACTGGTATTCGTCTAGATGATAACGATAGATGTAATGAATCATCGACATCGTCTTTCCTGTTAAATGACTTCTGGAGTCCTCGATGTTAAACGAAATCGTCATGGACAATTTTGACGGTGATGACGTCACGAATAGAATTTTATCACAACGTTTGCCCCACGTATCGTTCACAGCCTTCGCTTTTGTCAATAAATTTGACGTCGTTGTAGCGATGAAACAGAAGACTTTGACCTTTTTCGAAAGGTCATCTGCCAAGGATGTGTTGACTAGAACTGTAAAAATATCAAAAATATCAATAAAAATCAGATTGCTTTCATTAATATGGTTCACAAACACAAACTAAACAGCACAAAAATTCAACATACTTATTTTACATACATAGTTTATTACCAAATTTAGCTTAAAGTTCCACTGAATGATATCAAAATTTCCCAAACAGCTCCATAGAGTTATGTGTGAGGTTGGAACATCGATTTTTTAATAATTTACTTAAAACTCTAAAAAATACAGTGTTGACTTTGTATGATTTAGACGTAGATTTTAATATAGAAACTATCGTATGGGGCGACAGTGATGTTTACTCATATGAAACTAATTGTTATATTGTTAAATCCATTCAAAAGTTTATAAAACAAGGTGTTTTAACACTACCTAATTCTGAACTGTTTGTAGTCGGCATTGGATTGATATAGAATTGATACAAAATCTAAACTATCTCTTTTTCTCTTCTTTTCTTTCTATCCTATCATCTCATCTTTTCCTCCTTTTCACAAAATGATTTAAACTGACAATTGTACGTCTACGAATTACTTATCTTCATATTAATAGTATGAATATGTGTCACGTGCAGTATATTAATTATTTGTAATTTCATTTATGAAGAAGAGTTCATAAGTCCTAGAACTTGTCTCTGATCCATATAACTTTTAAGACACTTTTTTTACACGCGTTTACTGCCATAAACGTATTTTATTGTAAGAAAATGACGTCAGACAGCGAAGTGAAGTCGTTTACAAATACCTAGCGACACCTTGTGGTATTTGATACGTGTGTGTTGAAACAGGATTTATTGTTCTGTACATAGTGGGTACGTTCTCAACGAGGTTAACAAAAATTAACGAACTTTATAATCACTATTTGCTTTGTTATAAATCTATTAATTTAAACAATGCGATCACAAGGACTGTTACCGATCTAAATACAATGACGGCATTCATGTTGTTTTAAAAAACCAGAAATATTAAACCGTTTAAATTCCATTGAAAGTCTACAACAGAGAGACACGCTATCCTTTTTCTGCCAATATCCAATCATTTTAATCTATCGGGAGGGTACGGGAACAAATAGAAGATCAATTAAATACACGTCCATACGTAAAACACAGTGTGACTGAACATTTTAGATAAGTAGAACGCAATGTGTGTACAGTAAAGAGTCAGTTCTTCGCCGACTGGATTAGGAAATGACAGTCACCAAATCCACAGAATTACTCGTCGGTGCATACACGTACTAAGACCGACTTTGATAACTACATCCTGTTAACAAAGGACAGCAACAACCTAAATTTAATCTAATGAAGAGATTAGATTTGAAGATTTTCATTTACATTCTCTTACGTAGCGACTATTGATAACTAAACGTGTTTATTGAGCTCCTTATTTCTGTTCAGTGCTACCTAACGATTCATCTGTTTGTATTTTTTGTTAATCGATGTCTCATTAGATTTGTTTAAAATCTGGGTAAGCATCACGAGTGTTGATTCACGAGATTTATATTGTCAAATTTTAAACCACTTTAACAAAAGGTGCGTCGTTTGAAAATAATTAAAGGGCCACAACTCTGTATAATATTTGCCATATGTGCTTTAATGTGGAAATGTTAGATTTGCTGATAAGAGATAACAGGATTAAATTTTATACAAAGTGATACACGGACAGACGAACAGACCGAAACGGGAAGGGACGCACGTGTTGAAGAAAGGGTAAACACATTGTACAGTCCCACCCAGTGGTATTATTTATGAGCTAATTAAAAAAATAGTTATCACTAGATACCGAAACTCTCCATTCAAATACTTCTTGTCTTTCAATATTTATCGGAAAGTTGAAAAATTTGTGGCATTTAATAGATAAACGTTCATGCGCATTCCTGCTTTAGATAATGACGCTGCCTACTTGTGTCGTCGTCTTCGATATCCTCGGGCCGATAGCTTTGAATAGACGATATGTCACTTGAAACGTTCTCGTAGTCGAACCACATCCCTGAAAATACACAAGTTGGAGAAACAAGTTATTACACAGTCAAAGGAGTGGTTGATCAGATGATTACAGCTGTCATTCATTCGAGGATATTTCTTCTGTCTGTCCTTCGATAACAGCAATACATTTGTATTTTCTCTGCAGTAGCAATGTATCAACTATTTAATGATCAATGGGATCTTCAATCAAAGAGGAGGATCATGACGTCATTACAATTATGACGTCATAATTATTAAGGATGATGAAGAATCTATTCCATTCTATTGAAAATATACTACAGGTATACTTGTATTCCAGTTACTGGTAACAATGTCATATATAACGATTTTTACAAAATGGGACTATTTTCCTGGAAGGTATCATGTTTAATTGTCCACCCAGGAGCATAAAGAATTGTGCTGGACAGCTTTACAAATAGTCCATTAATTATGTCGGTATTTTGATAGTTTCTGTTTTCTCCTTTATTCGAAAGCAATATATCCATCAGTTCAACGTTTAACTCGAAGCCTGGTTCAAATAGTATCCCTGCTATACGGGAAAACGCTGTACTCAGAACATTTGATATAATCTGAGGTACAGTGAAACAGATTTTTTTTATTCATTCACAGCAGAAAGTATATCAAATCGATATTGATTGTTAGATAGTTTACCGTGTGCTATTCAAATATTTTCAAAGCGATATCAATACACATTGTTAAGCATAGCAACACATTAATGCAGTCATGTCGCCCTCCTCATCAATACATAATATACATTTAAAAATTTAACTGATTTACAGTTACATTCATGGGGATATTAATGCTAACAGGATGAAGGCGACTTCAGCCAAAGGTGTGTTAATGTTTAATTTGCCTTTATCCAGTTGGAAATCATAGAGCCTATGAGGGGGTGGGGGTGGGTGGGGTGTGAGGGGTAGGGGATAGCGGGCAGGGGTAGGGGTAGGGTGTAGGGTGTAGGGGTAGGGTGTAGGGACAGGGTTGGGAGAGGGGTTAGGAGAGGGTGTTGGGGTGGGTGGGGTGTGAGGGGTAGGGTGTAGGGGTAGGGTTGAGAGAGGGGCTAGTAGAGAGGGTGGGGGTTGGTTGGGAATAGGGGTAGGGAGTGAGGAGTAGTGGTGGGTAGGGGATAGTGGTAGTATGAGAGGGATAGGGGTGGGGTATGGGGCCTGGGGTCCGGGAAAAAAACAATAATTTCTTGTCCAGGTCACCTTTTTTAAATCAACGCTCAGTACATTTTAACACAGCCAGAGTGTTGCATGCTTCATTACTAGTTCGTTCCGCCAAATGTCAGTTTACAGTCACTGGTCCCTGAACATTTCCCTTTTAGGACTGGTGTCATAGCACACATACATTCATTTAGGCGTCATAAAACAGAGAGACTTTAAAAATGTAGAACTTTTTCAAGAGTTAGTCAACAACAACAGCAACAACAACAAGTCTTTGTTGTTAAATTATTTCACAAATTTAATTTCCTGTTGGCGCGTGAAATGGAGTATTCCTGTAATGAAAGAGTACTTCCATAAAGTTGAGGGGAAGGCAGAAATCGAACACCGCCCTGCCAACAGCCATAGGAACACTACCTTTCGTGTGATTTTGACGTCAGTGACCATATCTAACAGCCACAAGGTCGTCTATTGACCATGTCAATATCTTATTGACAATGAGATCAATAATGAAAGACCATGTGTGTGAATGGAGAAATCGCTTTTCATTGTGAAATATCTGGCAAGGAATTCATCCCGAAATTGATTTAGGAAGATTAACTTCGAAATGCATATAAACACATTGTATGTACAGATAACTTGTGAAGTAGTGGTGCTGGCACGTGTCGTGATCATACGAAAATGTATCTACGAAAAACCGCGTGGGTCGCTTCGATCAAACATTTCGTAAATGATATGTATTATTCACCTTACAGTGTGAAATATAATTGCAATGATACTAAGTATAAAATGTAACAATTTTAATTTAATCGTCCGATAATTAACATAGCGAAATTCATTTTATTTTTCTGCAAAATTATATGTTGAAATACACAGGCGCAATTTACGGAAGGAATATCCGGTATCTTTCATCTCTATACAGCTGAAATAGAATGAAACCAAATCGCACTCAGACAACAAGAATGGGCGTTCCTGGGACAAGATAAACAAATGCGTCCCTTTAAATTTTATCTTCTAGTGAAACTAGTGTCGATATCAAACAGTCCTCTCGGTAATTACAACGTCCATGTATCGCTGTGCTTTCTACAGATAATAGAGTACAGATTTGAAAGAGCATTTTCTTGATTTGATTTAAACATATTTTTTTGTCGACAAATAGACAAATGGATAAGAGACAAGTTCTTGCAACTTATGAACTCTTCTCCACAAATACAGCACAGATAATATATTACAACACGTGACATATGTTCATACAATAAACATAAAAATACAGAATTATAGACTTAATGTTTAAATCAGTTTGTCAGCGGATAATACTGGAAAATAAGAGAGAGAGAGAGAGAGAGAGAGAGAGAGAGAGAGAGAGGAGGGGGGGGGAGGTGGGTTCATGGTTGACTGCATTTGGAAAGATTTAGGTAGCATCAAATCGTTTGGACTGTTGAATATATTTTTGAAGTGATTTTATTATTTCGCAATAAGTTTGGTATGAGTAAGAGTTAATATCACCCCATAATATGGTTTCTACGTTAAAAATCACGTTTAGGTCATATAGAGTATCAAACAATATTCGTCTACAATTAGAAAATAACGCGCACGAAAGAAAATAGTGACTTGCGTCTTCAACGACGTCTCCACAAGAGCAATTTGGAGATTGACAAATTCCCACCCTAAATAAATCTGAGCGCAGTCCACTACAGTTGTTCCTTATTCGACAATGTATAACAGAGGAAACGGTTGCCAGAGTGTAAATAATCTGGAACTGAAATGTTTACAGGAGAAAGCTTAGATCTGAAGGTATTTAAGGACGGGACGCTTTTACAGAATTATCTACGTTATTCCTCAAATTTATAGACGACGGCACAAAGGATTTTTTCATAATATTTAGACGACTGTGGGGTATTTGGTAATTCTCAGGGTTTCTTAATTCAATGTTTAAGTCACGTCTAATGGGCGGAAGTAGATTTACCAAGTAAGAAGGGGCTATCTTATTGTGTATTTTGTAGAACGTAGTCAATTATTTATTTTTGATTTAATTGATCTGTTACTGTGAAAAGACGAGACGGTGTAATGACAATATGTACAGACAAATTTCTCAAAACAGGAGACGTACCCCGAGCAAAGAAATATCTACCTTAGTACGATATCCTTTTGTTAAATTCTATTTTTCTTTTTTTGGTTTATAGTCTATTTTTTGACAAGTTCCTTCCTGCCAGACAGGCCTGTCGTGTTTACCTTGCGTCAATTTACTGATAACTAAAAATCCTCAGGCGGGTGTTTTTAACACTACACACGCACAGTAAACAGTTGGACTCTTCTGGTCTCCAGGGTTGGTAGAGCGATAACGTCGATAAAGGCCGTGAATGACCGATGGGCATCACTATTCAAATTCAGCCTGACAGGCCAATCTGACATGACACATTTACAATGCACTAAATTTTCATATACAAATGAAAACGAAATTTAACAATGACTGTGTGTAGGGTATCTAGTTAGTGGTTCTCGAGTGAGTTGTTGATAGAACACTATTTCAAGCGGTGTGACACTGTGAATTTCATATGCGTTAAGTTAAAATTCATTTTTTTCTCACAGTTGGATAACATATCCCGGGAAAACGATTTTTTGTGGAACAAATCCACAACATGTATATCATATTGTGATACTTAACTTCAAATAATAAGTTTTTTCTACAAGTTTTCAAAATCTGATTAAACACATTTTGAAAACTTGTAGAAATGTCTGGTATTTCTTGTAGTATACCTGACATGATTTGGAAGTAAAATATGAGAGACAAATTAAGAAACAGATTTCATCTCGAAATAAGAAACGCTTCCGACAAAGTTTAGACAGTTCTATAGATTTGCTTCAGGATTGTAAACAAGTCTTGTCTTGAATGATAAAAATATTATTTGAAAAATATAACAGAATCAGTCATTTTTATCAACACATTCATTAGGAACTAAGACACGAACCCGGTCTGAATAGTCTTACGCTCAACGTATCAGTATTTTTCAGGATGACCCTTCTTGGACCGGAAGTGACGTCATTGGCATGATATTTCAATAAAATAAGCCGGAAGTGGCATCGGGCTAATATAGCTGCGACATGTTATTTGTTTCCATGGTAACGGAAAAGGAATTGAAATGGAGAACTCCCCCATAGCAAAAGATAGTTTCATAAGTGTAAAAATCAATTATCTTGAACGGTTTCAGTGCACTTGGCCAGAAATCTGACATTTGTGATGAAGGTTATCTGTTTCCATGGAAACAAAAATCAAAATAACTATGGTACAAACTTAATATACACAAGGAGTTTTGTGGAGGTGAGTGGAATGGTTTTAAAGTTATTGCTCGGAAAGGAAAGTCAACGCTAATTTTGTTTTTTAAACTATGTTTCCGTGGTAACAGCAACAAAGATGAAAAATGAAATGCCATCAATAGCAAAAGACACAACGAGCACACTAAGTTAATAAACACAGCAAGTTTTGTTGAATTAAGTGGAACGGTTTTAAAGTTGTAGCCTGAAAAAGCCCTCGGACGGACGGAGGCTCGCAAGGATGGACGGACGTAATAGCGGACATAAGACCTGTTAAATAAGTGAACAAATAGAGCCGTCAGCTTCACATTTGTATTAGAATGATATTTACTGTTATCATTGATTTTACAAAAAAGAAAGAATTTGTTTATTCAATAAAAATGTATGAATGGCAACATATCTAGACAAAAAAATGATAAAAAAATCTAAATAAATATACAAGAACACCCACATCTTGCAGTTTGATCGTAGTTAGGAGACGGGACAGGTTTTACGCCAAATCGGGACCTTTCGGCTGTTTCCGTGTAAAGAC